TTTATTTAAATCAGATGTCTGCTATGATACTGTAAAGAACTATGAATTAACAACAACTAAAAAATAGATAACCCTAACTTCCAAATCTTTAGATTTTGTCAATTCTCACAATGTTATCTAGACATACTATTTACTATTTGTCAATCTAGAGTTAGAAAACGATTTGATAATTCTCGAGCAAAGAAACCACCTACATGTTTCTTTGAGGTACCAAAGATATATCACAACATCTAATTTTGTGAGATCATCCCTTATTTCTAAACGCAAAAAAGGGGAAATATTTGTCCTATTTTCTTTATAAATCCATTAATCCCATTTTATCTTTTTCCATGATAATGTGCACACACTTGCCAAAAGTAATATGGTTTTTTTCAACCTTGAATTAAATGAAAAGGACCAGCAAAGCTCCTGTTACCCTATTTTCCAACCACCCATTTATTGGTAATGGTGACAGTGGCAGAACCTTAATACACCATTCAATAATAATAGACCATTCAATAATAAAACACAGCAATTGCTAGTGTTTACTGAACTATGTTTCAAGCCAATCTCATATAACATCTACATTATAACACTTCCATTTATGCAAGAGTCATAGCTCTACTCATATCTGCCAGATAATCCAGAGAGTAACTAAAGGTTTTAGGGAAATAATTCCACTCCAAAGTAAACCTTTCATTCTCTTTACTCTCTTTCTCTGGAATAAACTGATGGTCCTGGGATTTTTTAAGAATGTTATCACACATCAAACTTTACTTCATACTCTGCTCCAAAATGTCCTAAGATCAAATCCTTCACATGCACCATCCCCTTACTTTGAAAGGCTACTAATGACACTTTTAGGGGCCTCTTTTTGCGATTATATTTTTTTAGTGGTTTTAGTCATTTATATTAAGAATTATATTCTTTTAATTTGTGCCTTCCCCAATATTATGTTCTTTGAAGTAATAGTAAAGACACTTGAAAAATAAATAGCAAAAATACAAAAATTAACCCAAATCACCTTTTAAAATAATTTTTTAAAATACGGGCTTTCTTTAAAAAGTCAGATAATTAATAAAGCAAGATATATTTCCAATTTAGACTTAATGTTAGAAAATATTTGTCCACTTTTTATCACAGCTCACAGATGAGTTTTAGGAATTTCATCCCAATGAATGAATATTCCTCTTACTATGTTTTGAAACATTTCTATCATACCTTAAATAATTTACCCACTTAAAAAAACATATATTTTTACTCCCCTAAAAAGATAATTTTAACAAAATGAATTTGAAAGAATAAAAATTTAACATTCATAAACACTACAAGCTTTTTGTTACAACACTAAAAAACGCAACATATTCGTTCCTCGCTCTTAATCTTAAAATACTAACTTTCTGATTCTAGCAAAGTATAATTTTAGTAACTCATCAAGACAGAATGCATAAAATTGGCATGTTTTTGATATGCACACAAATTGAGAAAGCATCTTTCCCAACTGTGCTGCAGAAAATGAAATGCATCTGGTGTGACAATATGGCCTGACACGTGAATTAGAATCAGTGGAAAGAAAGGGGCTTTTTATTTTTTTTAAAGCAGAATAACCTAAATAATACACGTTATTTAATGTGCAAGGCATTTTCAAATGTGTAATAGTATGTTTCAAAGGTAAATTTGGCTGAAGAAAACATAATAGCAAGAGGACTAGCAGGGGCATGGGAGATAGTTTGCTCAATTTTAATAATTATACATCAGTGACTTCCAAATTTTTTCCCCAGCAACCCAAACTGATTTTTAGCTTTCGTTTAACATCACCCAATGTCAAAGTATGTGCACATATGTTGTTGGGGCCTCATGCTGGGCTAGGGGTATGAGGGGTGGGGAGTGTGTTGCAGAATATGGCTAATGCCGGGACCAGGCAAAGAATGAGAAAAATTGAACCATGTGCCTTGTTTTTGCAACGAATTTTCTTTTCTTCCTTGAAAGAAAGTTCTTTTTAACCAAACTGAAGACAGATTTAATGCTTTTACTGTCTGTTCTTTGATGTGTTCCCATCTGTTCTTGTGAACTGTGAATAAAACTGAAATCTGCATGTACAACACACTTCCTCCCCAAGCCCAAGCATCTTCAGAAACGAGATGCTGGGAAAGCAAGGAAAGCTCTCTGAGATACGTAGGAATCTTAGAAGGGCATAGGAGAGGTGAGCCTACTCCTCAACATCTTAGTGAGTTCTCTTCCAGTTCCAGATTCCAACTTCATTTCTTCCCCTTCTCCATTCAGAGAGGTGAGAGGGTTCCTTTGAGTTGGGCAGGAAAGTCTTTAGAGGACTGAGGAACCCTCTCCTGTGCATTGGTGAGAGGATGCTGCTGACAGCTGGACTTGTGGCTCATAACAGAGAAAACTGTCCTCTCCCCAGGGAAGAAGTCTCCATGCGCAGGAAATGTTAAGAACCACCAATGGTGCTCTTCCTGAGACTGTGTCTGGCACCAGACAAGCCCCTCAGGATTTAATGTTCTGCCTACACCCTACCTTTCACCTATTCTTTGAATGATATTTTCACTTTTTTATTCCTTTTATGTCTTCATTGAAATGTTGACTCTTTATAATGAAAAGCTGCTTTAGAACTACAGATGGTATGTCATTTGTAAATATGATATAATTGATATGCAACAATGCATCACAGAGAACAAAGAAAAAAATTAACGTAACTATTCCATCATAGAACTGATTCTAGAGATGGAAGAAAAAACTCCAGAATGTATGTAAACTTGCAAGTATTAATCAATAGGACTGAAGTCATCTCAGAAACATAACAAGTTCTAAAAGTTGTCAAAGGTAACTGTAGTAATGGAAAAGATTCTGGAGAATGATTTGAGCATAAAACCTCTCTCTGTCATTTATTAGCCATGTAACCATGGAAAAGTTATTTAATTTGTTTGAGGACTGATTCTTAATCCATAAAGATGGCAACGAGAACTTCTATCATGTAGGACTGCTATGAGGATTAAATCGGGTAAGGCAATAAAGTACTCAGCATATGGTGAAGACACACAATAATGTTATTCAGTATCTTCTCCAAAATAGGTTTAGGTCTTTTGAATACAAAATTCATATTTACAGAGCAGCATTTTTTAAAGATGGATGGAGTCTGAAAATTTTGGGGGAAAAATGAACCTAAAGATCAATTCAGAATTCTCTGCTTTTGTTTTGAAAATATCTTGCTTCAGTAAACTGCAAAATAATTTAGTAAGTTAACATTTGCAGTAATATGATACTTATATTCCAAAATAATTCAATTATTATTGTTGTTTTATTCTTTTTTATAAAATTTATTGGTATAACATTGGTTAATAAAATTATATAGGTTTCAAGTGTACAATTGTATAACACATCATCTGTATGTTGCATTGCGTGTTCACCACCCAAAGTCAAATCTCCTTCCGTCACCACATATTTAATCCCCTTTACCCTCATCTACCTCCCCCGTTCCCATTCCCTCTGGTAACCACTAAGCTATTGTCTGTGTCTATGAGTTTGTGTTTCATTTGTCTTGTTCATTTGTTCTTCCTGATCTCAAAAGTTCATAAAAACAAACGTAAACAGTATCCCAACTCTAAAATTCTTATATGTTAGGATATGTACACACTCGAAAATAAATACTTTTTAAATACATGGTATTCTTCTATACTGAATTTAAAAACATCCTTTTAAAATGACTTTGTACCTTAGTTTTGGAACCAGAAACATCTTTCAAAATGAAAGGAAAGGTAGATTTATTTAGTTTTTTTGTCAACAATATCTCTACCTACTCTTCTGAGAATAGCTAAAACCTTTTTCTCGAACATCAGTAGCATCAGGTCACTGCAAGTAATTGTGTTTATTAAACAATAAAACATTTGTATTCTGCTTTATTTTCTGAAACTATTCTATTAAATTAGCAATAAATTTAATAAACAATAAATATTTTCAATTGAAAGCATATCTCTCCCCATATCACACCCTTTGAAACATGACATTATGCTTTTTGTCACTCAACTTTTAATCTAATTTGAGTTTTAATGTATATGTCATTAATCTAAAATAATTCAAAGTAATGAGAGTTTAAATAAACTAAGAAAGAATTCCTAAACTAAAAAGAGTTCCTTAGGTCCCTGGCAGAATGGAACTTTCAAAGTATTTGCTAGCATTAACACCATTTGATAAACATTAACAAAAGGAGAGTCTCGCCTCTACAAAACCCAGGTTGTGAAAGTAGCCATTCAGTGGACAGCCTTATGGATCCTACAGGTACATTTTTACTTGACTCCTGCCTGAACAAAGGGTCAATATGATGTATAAAGCAGCATAGTTGAAACAACCGCTTCGGATGACTATTAAATCTTAGGAAAAGCCATAGGAACACATCTGACTAACTCAGATGAGACACTCAGGCTGCCCACTCCTTGGGCAGCAATCCACCTGCAGCAGGAAGTTTTAAGAAGGCAGTGAGGGAAAATAAGCAGACTTCTGCTTTAAGGGTTTCCCCAAGACATGATTTCAGGTTTACCTTTAAGTCACCTCCCCACATTTCTATTCCTGTGAACTATTTGTTTCAAATGCTGGTCCCTCTACACCAACTGTTATGCATGGTTGGAATCTTTTTTTAAGTTGTTGGTTTTCTTTTTCTTTTGACAAGGTGTGACATGGCTGGAAAGTCTTAGGAGACCGCCAAAAAGTACCCACTTTATGTCTAACTTTATTCCTCTCCTATTTGACTACCATTAACACTTCCACTTTCATTGGCAACTCATAAAGCTACTCAAACGGCTTCTGTCAGTAGGTGTTACTTCTGTCAAAAGTAAAGTCAGGGTGCAAGACAGTATGCTGTCTTCACTCAGCAGGAGAGGGATGTTTTCTTGCCACTGTTTGATTGACTTAATAGCACTTGCGTACTCCTGCAACTCCAGGATCATGGTCACCCAAAGCTGGAGGCGTGGTCCCACGCACCTAGTCTCCAGCCGCGCGCGCCAGTCACTCACCGGGCTGCTGCCCCGCTCCTCGCCCTTCTCAGCGGTCTGTGGCTCCACAGGGCTCCGAGCTGGCTCTGCGGGAGGCGGCGGCGGCTCCAGCAGCTGCTCCAGGCAGGCGGTGCCGGGCAGGGAAGAACTCTTCTGATGGCACAAGTGCGCTGCAGGGCCCCGACGCCGTGCACCCTCATCTTTGGCGCGGTCCCCTCTCGGGGGTGGTTGGGGCGAGGAAGACAGAGAGGATGAAGCAGAGGACGAAGAGGGAGCTGAGTCTGGGGAGCGTCCGCCAGGAGGCGTCACTCCGCCTGCTCCTGGGGCCGCTACCGGCCCCTTTCCAGCGGGGAGCAGATGCTCGCGGATCCGGCGGCGCAGCGTTGACCCTTGCTCGGCTCTGCCGGGGCCCCCGGGCTCGAGAGCCTCCGGCGAGGAGCAGCACAGGTTGGGCTGGGAGGAGGAGAAGACGCGGTCCAGCACTTGCTTCCGTTTCTTGAAGCCGCTCCACCTGCTGCCCGCGCCACCTACGCCCGCCAGTGCGTCCCGCCTGCCCCCAGGGGGTGGCGGGGACGG